TTTTTTACTTTTGCACATTCGTAGTGGAAATGCCTATTGCACTTTGCACAGGTGGGAATGAATGTCCGGCCACTGAATTTTGGGCCATTTTTTCTCGTCATTTATCCACTCACCGGCATGTAACGCGTATGGGTCATTAAGACGTATTCCATTAACTAGTGTTAATTTAGCAGCATAACTTATTTTATCACTAGGTGATAAACTGTTGAAGTACGCTGACAACATCGCTAGCTAGCAGATTGCAACTGCTAAATAACCGCGTATAATCACAACATTCAACCAGACGCTTTAAAGGACCCGGCACTTTTTGCAGTCAAGATGCGCGCGCATCCGCCGTGTTGATAAACAAATAATCCCTCTATAGGTAGATAGATAGCCGTGTTGGTGTTTTTATGTGAAACAATCTTTCTGATTCAACTGCTGATGGTTAAAGGGTTCACTGAATGCTAACGCCCACTACAGACCGAACAAGTCACGTGTTGCTGAAGCTAACTGCTGCATAATGAGCTAACCCTGTCTTTGTTTCAGTTGGACCCGACCAGAACCAGAACCCCCTGGGGCCAGCTAAGCTAACAGGTCTTTCTGCCTCATCATAGTTTTGTTGGGAGCTGGAGAAATGCCAACTTTCTCCAGCAGAGTCCGCCCTGGTTCCTCTCAGCTGAGCTGTCGACGCACCTGCTTCTGATCATCTCATCTGGAGGACCAGACTACTTAAGCTGTCTTCAGACCTTGCCTCGACGCCACAGTGTCTTAATCAGTGGTTAGCACCTAAGCCATAGATCCTCTGAGAACCTTGTTACTCCTGAGTCCTGTTTGGGTTCTAACCCTTTGTCTCTGCTTCCAGGTTTCCTGTTTTTCTCCTGTGAAGCTCTGGAAGAGCTTAATCTGCCTAGCCTGCCCTCCGAGCCAAACCTGAAGACTCACTCTCTGGATTTCCAAGCAGCTCTGGATACCGAGCTGGAAACTCAAGCCAAGGTCAAACTCGTCTCTAGAAGTAAGACGCTGAAACAGCTTACGGACTCTGCAGAACCAAATCATGTCCGGACCCAACAGTTCCGCTCCCAAAGCCTCTTCTGCGCACTTCAAGGTACAAACCTGAACACAACCAAGATCAATCCCAGCCAAGCTTTCGCTAACACAACTGTCTCTCTCACAGACTCCAGTGAACCAGTCCCAGACCAGAACCAGTCAACTGTTCATTTTAAGGGTGTGCAAAATAATCGTCAAATCGATGCATCGTGATTCTAATTTTTGTGATCTACTGAATCGATTCTTGAAGGCAAGAATCGATTATTAAAAAAAAAATGAACAAATAAAATACATTAATGGTTGGCGCACATCAATCAAACCAAGTGGAATACAACTTCCAGTCCAGCAGATGTCGCTGCGGATGTGTTGACGCCTGCTGCTTTGTGTCATAAGCATGTCCGGACTGATTATCCTCATTTTGTTATTTTAAGTTTGATGAATCCTAAGATCTTTTTGTTGGTGTGTCCATGCCAGTAATAGTAATATTTCTGTCCAGTATTTGTTTTCATGGCAACACCTCCAAAAGTAATTTCAATAAATACAGCTATGTATAAATTCAGTTGCTTTCAGTTATGTATCAATTGAAGACACTATCCAGATCACACCCAGCCAGTCAGCCACTGGTAAGGGCTGTATCTTTTTCTTACAGTGTTCAGTGAAAATATCCCAATGCATCGCAATATTTCAAGTATCGTGATGCATCGTGATAGAATCGCATCGTGGCATGTGAATCGTAATTCGAATCGAATCGTGACTTCTTTGCCAATACCCACCCCTAGTTCATTTAACTCATGCTTGTGCAACAATAAACTTGTTAAACTTTCCCTCTGAGTCGTCAGTGTTCTGCATCTTGGGCCTCTCTGTTTACCCATCATGACAAGTTTAATGCTTTCCTGAGTCATTATTCATTTTTTACCATAAACTGAATGAAACTTCACCATTTTGACTGCAGTTAACATCTCTGTGTGTATCAGGGTTAATTTACATTTATCTGCTGCTATTACAAAGGACACTTTTAAATGCAATAAGCCTTAACCCTATAATGCCAAATGTATCATATTCAATACATACAGTTTCTGAAATATTTTGCATCTGACTCCTTTTGCATAATTTAATGGTAAAAATTTTGCTCAAAATCCTATTGTACACAATAAGATATACCTGATAACAGAGGGCAGAAGACGACACAAAAAATAATCTTGATTTATCGCATAGTAATAAATTATTAATATCAAAAATGTATTTCTGTTTTTTCTTTTTACATATTTTGTTAAATGGCCAAATAAGGACTTCAAACCAAAAAAAGGAATTTTCTGTTTTGTTTTATTGTTGGATCAGGCTTTAAAGGGTTAAACATCAAACATCACAGACTTTTTACGGAGTCTTAAACCCCTATTCCCCCTTTATTTCTTTAGTTTGCTTATTTTCAATATTCACTCTTCTTTCAGTAGCATTTGACTGAACAGAGACAGATTTATTTGGTTGGTGATTAATAACGTTGCTAAGAGCTACAGCCTAAATGACTAAATTGGTGAAAGACAACTGGATTTTTAACAGCCACATTCAGGAGTCCAACCTTTTAGGAAAGGGGCTAAAACCCTGGTCAGTAAGCAGGTTACAGTTATAATCATTCAACTGATAATAAATTATTTGAATGACCTATTAATTAACTAACTTCCAGTTCTAGTTATTTATCATGATCTTCTGATGAATTGGCACAACACAGCTTCTGGTTCTTATGTTCTCCAGGAATCTTATTTTTGTTCCTATAGCAAAAATGTTCTTATCGGTATATTAGATTCTGTAGAAGTTGTGACCTGTGATTAGATGCTAATTCAGATCCCAGCAGAGAGCTGAAGAACATATTGGACATGAGATGGTTCTTATCGGGGCCGCACCTACCTAGACGCATAACACGCTCTGCATAGGGGCCTTGTCACACCCCATTTTGCACACAGGAGTCCAAATGTGCAATGGATGCACATTTTAGCTATATCATCAGGCAGAGAAGGAAAAAGGTACCACCGGTAATCTGACCATGTGATCCTTGCATCTGATCACTCAGATGTTGGTACGCTACAGAAGATAAAATATTAACATGTGTCCAGTCAACATCATGTTCTGGTGAATGAAAATAAAGAAAATAAAGGCAAAAACAAGGAAACTCATGGGTCCCTTGAAGGTTGTTAAAAAGAGAACTTTCTGACACAAATACCTACGTTGCCACTTAGGCTTCTCTATTTTTAGTCTCTATTTTCAGACTGGCAAATTGTTTTCCAGTGACCCTGATTCTCATTAATTAAACACCTTGTTAACGCCCTATGCTTTCAACTCTGCTGTAGAAGAGGGGATAAAAAAGCCCACTTTATGGTCGTATATAAGCTTAAACTGGAGCCAAAATATATTATATTAGCTGTAGTGTTATATCATTTCATGCTGTCAAGTAGTTTTCTCCTTTTCAAGGAGATAAATAGCACTATCTGTCAGGAAAATCATTCACAGGAATAGTTTTTTCAATATTAGTAGAAGCTGTAGTAGTACTTCAAAAGGCAGTACTAATAGTTGCATTGATGCTAGTATTAGTAATATTATGGTATATAAAGTAGAAGTGAGTTTTTATGATTTCTCTTTTTTTATTATTACCAGTAGTAGTAGTAGAAGAAGCAGTAGCTGTACTTGCATTAACTGCTTTTGAATCTTTTTAAGACTAGTGTCGTGGGAAAAATGTATTCAACTATTCACTCCAATTAAAGAAAAAAAATTGACAGTATCAATAATGACAGTCAAAATTTAAATATTTCTGTATTTGTATAATGGGTCTGTTTCATGTCTTGTCTTCTCAATTCAGAAGGTCTCCTGCCTGTCTTTGCCTAGGGTCCCACATGTCCAAAACCGCCCCTGCTCCCTAATTAACCCTGAAGAAAAGCTTTGAAGGTCTACACACCTCTCTACCCAAAGTAAAAAACAAACAGTTTGGAGAAACTGTCAAAACTGTTGGTTTTTAATAAATTTTCAGGTTGGATTACTTTTGTCAATATTTTTTTAATTCTCTCAGGGTAATTTTTTTTTTTTTGTTCCATTTATTTCCAGTTCAGTATTTTTAATAATAATTTATTATTTACTTCAGGATAAACTTTTATTTATTTCAGGTTGATTTTTATTTATTTTTCAGGAGGCCTCGAAAAAACATTTCATTTATGACCCCAATTTCACAGGCAACACTGTTTCCTATGGTCAATGCTCTACTCCTGATAGTAAAGTTGTCAGTGGTTTTTATCCCTCAAGGACCCACGGTGTAGTTTATAAAATAAAAGTAAAAAAAACAACTCTTTATTACAAAAGCGTTATAAGTAAATTATGAGACAGTTTTAAAAGACAAAACAGATGTCTTATTCACAAAAAAAAATATTTTGTATTTATGGCTTATTTGCTAAACTGATGCCAGTGGTGTATCTATCTCATTATAGCATATAGCTTTTACACATCCCAGACAATCCTTTAGTGTCACTCCACTCACTTTTTAAAAGATCGACTGTTCTGAAAAGTGACTTTGCGTTCTTTTTTAAAGTGGATGTTATACATTCTACAGCAAACAGTATCAGTCTTTTATTTTCTAATAATGTAACCATCAAGATAGAACGAAGTATACAACAATTGAATATAATGAAACCGATATGCAATTTCAAAATTCGAGTTTTAGCTGTAATACTATTTTTGTCCACCAGATGGCACGCGCAGGATTGCTGGTAGACAGAAAACTCTTTTGGCGGTAGTAATCATTAAAATAAATTAAACGAATCCTGTGTGGCGTGCTTGGTGTGATTTCTTACGCAAAAATAGTAGAAATATCCATTTTCAATGAGTCTATATGGCGAATTTTGAGTTTTTTGGTTTTCATGGGGAGGGGAGGGGCTATTGAGCAGCAGAGAGAGAGAGACAGAGAGAGAGAGAGAGAGAGAGAGAGAGAGAGAGAGAGACAGAGAGAGAGAGAGCGGTTCGACGGAGAGAGAGGAGCTACAGCGCAAATAATCCAAATATCGTTTTTATAACGTCAGTATTGACCCCATACGGATACCAGCTTGGGATTGATATAATCGATCTTGTGGATTGAAAGGCTTGGAAAGTTGCCTTGCTGAGTGGGGTTGGTGGATCAGAGTACAAATTAGTGTCATCTGACCTGTCAAGGGGAAATAAACAGCACAGGGTGGATGAAAGTATTTATCAGTAAAGGTAAGTTTTCTAAATATATGAATAAATAGCTGGTTCTCTATGAGAGTAGCTCTATCTTAAAAACTACAATACTTTGACTCTTCAAACGTGAACTATATTGTTTTGAAACATGGGATCTTCTGCTTAACAAACAACTAACCAAGCCAGTTTGTCCAGTTTTTCTTTTTGTTTTGTTTTTTTACTTGGGTGTTGTTACATTAGACATTATAATCGTAGACACCTCATTGGACGCTGAAGGCAGCAAGGCGGACATGACCATATCTATGTGGAGGTGGAGGATAATGAAAGTGTGAGTCACTAACCTGGTCTTATATAAATATATATATAATTGTAGTTGACATTAAAGAAGTTTGATTGATATATATAAAACCTGGTCTGAGCCCAGAGGATGAGGTTGGTTCTAGCCAGTTGGAGTCTAATTCTAACCATTTTTGCAGAACCATGAACATTTGTAGCCTGATGAAGTTCACTTTGCAGGGCTCTGGAATTGGAGACTACACTGACAGACACAGCAAAATGTCTTGCCTTGGGTTGCATTGATGTACCATCCTGGATGAGCTGCACTATCTAAACCACATATGGGTTGTAGAATCTGTCTCATGATACCAGGGGAATGAAAGCACCACCAACGTTTAAAAGTAACCATAATCCCCCATAAAGCATAGCTACTGAGAGGTCCCCACCTGCAGAAGCACTCCATTATTATACACTCACCGGCCACTTTATTAGGTACACCTGTCCAACTGCTCGTTAACACTTAATTTCTAAGCAGCCAATCACATGGCGGCAACTCAGTGCATTTAGGCATGTAGACATGGTCAAGACAATCTCCTGCAGTCCAAAGCGAGCATCAGTATGGGGAAGAAAGGTGATTTGAGTGACTTTGAATGTGGCATGATTGTTGGTGCCAGAAGGGCTGGTCTGAGTATTTCAGAAACTGCTGATCTACTGGGATTTTCACGCACAACCATCTCTAGGGTTTACAGAGAATGGTCCGAAAAAGAAAAAAACATCCAGTGAGCGGCAGTTCTGTGGGCGGAAATGCCTTGTTGATGCCAGAGGTCAGAGGAGAATGGCCAGACTGGTTGGAGCTGATAGAAGGGCAACAGTGACTCAAATAACCACCCGTTACAACCAAGGTGGGCAGAAGAGCATCTCTGAACGCACAGTACGTCAAACTTTGAGGCAGATGGGCTACAGCAGCAGAAGACCACACCGGGTGCCACTCTTTTCAGCTAAGAACAGGAAACTGAGGCTATAATTTGCACAAACTCATCGAAATTGGACAATAGAAGATTGGAAAAACGTTGCCTGGTCTGATGAGTCTCGATTTCTGCTGCGACATTCGGATGGTAGGGTCAGAATTTGGCAGAATTTGGCAACATGAAAGCATGGATCCATCCTGCCTTGTATCAACGGTTCAGGCTGGTGGTGGTGGTGTCATGGTGTGGGGAATATTTTCTTGGCACGCTTTGGGCCCCTTGGTACCAACTGAGCATCGTTGCAACGCCACAGCCTACCTCAGTATTGTTGCTTACCATGTCCATCCCTTTATGACCACAATGTACCCAACTTCTGATGGCTACTTTCAGCAGGATAATGCGCCATGTCATAAAGCTGGAATCATCTCAGACTGGTTTCTTGAACATGACAATGAGTTCACTGTACTCAAATGGCCTCCACAGTCACCAGATCTCAATCCAATAGAGCATCTTTGGGATGTGGTGGAACGGGAGATTCGCATCATGAAACCGACTGCAACAGCCAAGAGTCAAGCTCTGCACCATGGGAGATAGGGCCTTCCAGGCAGTTGCCCCACAACTCTGGAATGGCCTCCCAGAGTCCCTTAGGGTCCCACAGAGCAAATATTATTTGTACTTACTTTCTTATGTACTTTGCTTATATTAGACGTTGCCAGTGTGATTAAATGTTTTCTCACCCATGTGGAGATATGTGGCTGGAAACCTGACATTAACATATTTTTTAGTTGCTGCTGGTATGATGTTTCATCTCCATCAGCGTATGGCATACCACTATAAAATCTATATTATTTTTTATTATTTTTTTTTGTTGGATCCTGCGCTTCTACAAACTTCCAATCGTAGATTTTAAATTACCCTGACTTTACTTTGACCTTTACCAATTTTAAAGAATTTAGTCCAGTACAAACACCTAGGGTATTCTAAGCACTGGATGTTTATTCAGCAAGACAGTCCCCAAAAACTGTTGTGGTAATTTCTGCTTCTACCTTTTCAGGTGAGAAATTCTTGCCTCTGCATCCACAAGAGCTGTACTGTATTTACTCCTGCTGTTTTGGTATGAAACAACAGAACCTAAAGGTTCAACTGTTAGTACATCATATGCTTCGTTGATCTGATTGGTTTATTTGGCCCGTCTATCACCAACATAGGAAAAGACACAAAGAAACAACAACGAACCAGCAAACAGTAACCAAAGAGGAGGATTATATATGTCAAACAGAAGAAAGACTGGAGTAATTACTTGAATGCGAGCAGGTGTGGAAAGAAGAATATAGAAGAGGGCTAGGGAAAGGAGACTGACACGAGAGGACAACAAAGGGTAAACAAGAAATAGATATGAAACCAAAAAACTTGAAAACACAGAAAAACAGGAATCAAAGTGTAACTGAAAACTCAAAAACCAAAAAAAAAAAAACTTAAACAAAACCAAAAAGTGCAGACTAATGACAGACTACAGGTATGTCTCAAGAAAGTGAAACCTGGATGACTCTTAACTTTCTGCTCCTGATGCAGACTAAAGCGAAGTTGTTGTCTCTGCCATGTGATTGCACCTAAATAGATACGTTGATACATTACGATTCAAGCAATAATCAGTTTTCCCATAATGTTTTTGTAGTTATAGCAGCCTATAGCGACTGTTTTAATATGTATTAGTTTGGTTGAATATGTATTTCTGTTACCTGACAAAAAAAATGTTCTTGTCAAAATGACCATTTCAAACAAAATGACACTCTTCACATCTAAATTAACAATTGTGGATGTCTAGAAATTAATTTCAGATCTATATATTTCTATTGTTGCTGGTCAGCATTCTTATTATTTTGATTATGACGTAATGTATTACAAATATAAATAAATATCCAGTCAAGCTGATAAATGTCAAAATGGCCACTCCAAATGTGTAAACATTTCTATGTTTATGAAATGTAATTCTTAGTAGAATAGTTTAGCTTTTTCTACTTTCTAATATTCAGTTTTTGCTACAGAAATGTAATTTAGAAAATCTGTTATAACAGTTCCTTCTAAGAATGTGATTTTGGAAGAATCCTATTTGAGTGATCTACAAATGGAAAAACAGGGAGGAGAGTTATTTTAATAAATTATTAAACAGCCAGCCATAGGGCACATCATAATAAACAATGCATTAACTTGAGCAGCAATCTTGTCCTTCACCATTATCCTTTCCTTTGCAGGTGTAGCGCTGTTTCTCTGTCTTTTATACACATTCTCCATGTATAAAAACCTCTTGTTTCAATGGGGTGAAATAGGCTCTTCCTGGCGCCTGTCGCCATGGTTACTCATCTGATCAGGACTCCACAGATAATGGCTCATTATACTTGTTACGCAAGCGTTAAACTCTGAACCTAATTAGAGTTGATCAAACAAATTCACACAAGAGTTTATGAAACTGAATTTCCAACCAGGTTAGACTGATTCAGTTGAGGATTTGAGTCTGGAGTTTATTAAACCTGCTTTGTGAAATGCACCTCTGGTGCTTTTCAGAAAGAATCCAGGGTTACAGCCCAATTTTGTTTTGTTTAAAATGTTTTCTTCCTTTGCAGCTTGCTTTAAAAGCTCTGCTTCAGCTCATTCCTCTCTGATCTTTCTTGCTGCTCACTTAAGTGGGAAACTGCCTTTCCACAATCCTTTATCTGATGAGATGGCACAGTCCACTTTAGTAAACGTAAAGGGGAAAGCAGAGATTGATGATGTGTTTCTTAGCATTGTTCTAAAAGTTTTGATTGTTATGCACAGACCCTGTTTGTAGCCTGGGCCACCACCATGGCCCCTAGTCAGTAGGGGTTGCCTATCTTGGCTATATGCTCAGTTTACGCCTATTCTTTTGCCGTGTTTCCCTGTTCAGCCAATAACAGGATTTAATTTAAAGTAATGATCTTCTGTAAGTTGTACAGATGTTCTCAGAGATGCTGCAGATATCACTTTCATCAACAGACTGTCAGGGTTCCTATGTGTGGGTTAGTGCGAGTTCTGCATCTCTACTCTAGAGGATCTTTGTGTAGAACTTGGTTAGCCTAATGAGGTGAAAGTAACCTTGATAATCATAGTGCTGGGCTTAAAAGAGCACCAGAGCCTTCATTCAGTGCTTGTTTCTTGTGTTTATTAAAGATGTTAATTGCTTCCTATTTTCTTGCTTCCCTTGAGTATTTATCCTGACGTTTATTGGCTTTGTTTGGTTTTCAGTATTTTTGCATTTTGGATTTTTGCCTGTTTCCCTTGGACTTACATTAAACCATCCAAACTTATCGGTACCTGCTCCTCTCTGCATTTGGGTCCTCAAAACCTCCACTAAACGTGACACAGGCCCCTGATTTAAAATGTATTTACCAAACAGCAGAATCTTCCTTTTCACTCATTGGTTCCTTTTTTGCCTGATAACAGGCTGGAGTCCTAAGTTGCTGCGATGTGTCTTGCTAGCATCACTTGCTAGGGTCTTGCGTGAACATAAAGAGGAGAACAAGTGTCAGGATTCCTTCAGCAAAATGGTGATTCTGCTTTATATTTGGAAATTCCTAATTATGTGGTATTAGAACAATTTAGCACTGTTGAAAATATGCTGATTTTTAAATCACAGGTAATGATCTTCTCTAGGGTTTTGTGGCCTACAATGTATGGAATTCATCGTACAAACAAACTTCAGCTATATCCGTCTCTGTCATTGTGTCCTTGGTCAAGAAGTTTCATCTGCGTTGCCCACTGATGGTCCCTTGGCCTCTGCTGCTGCTGCTGTAATCAGAAGGTTCATCCCCATGATGAACAAAATGGGGGATACTGTGCATCCTGTTACAATGCCTTTCTCCAGTACCTGCCATGCGGTGGTAAACTTGGCAGTCTGGAACCGCAGCTTGAATGACCCCAGGTAGCTGTTAATCATCTGCCTGATCTTGTTGGGGATGTGGTACTGCTCCATAGCCTTGTTGATGAGAGAATAGGGCATGGACCCATATGCATTTGCAAGGTCCAGCCAGACAACTGTTAGGTTGCCCTTGCTCCCCCTGGCCTCCTGGATCAGATGGCTGAGGATGGTGGTGTGTTCCAGGCATCCAGAGAACCCTGGAATCCCCCCCTTCTGGATCGAGGTGTTAATGTGTTTGTCATGTAGTTAGTTATTCTTCTCGCCAAGACTGAGAAAAAGATCTTGGCTTCTACACTCAGCAGAGAGATGGCGCGGAACTGTCCGATCTCAGAAGAGTCCTTCTCCTTTGGCACAAAGCAGCCCTCTGACACTCTCCAGGTAGTTGGTATGCTGCCCTTTGCCCAGATTGTCCGGAGGAGCTTACAAAGTCTAAGTAGCAGAAGTGGACACTTCTTGTACACTTTGTAAGGCACTCCGCTTGGTCCAGGGGCTTATGCTGTCCTTGCCTTTTTCACCACCTCCTCCACTTCCTTCCAGGTCAGTTCTCTGGTCACCAAAGGTTCTGAGGGGGGTGGCACCTTGATGATCTTTGGGTGGCTGCTAAGAAGTTTATACCTCTGTGGGTCACAGTGAGTCAACCTCAGAGCCTCTTCAACCTCCTCCTTAGAGCTGCTGAGTGATCCTGATCTTGCTTCTCCTAATAAGGTTTTAGTGAACCTATAAGGGTCTTTGATGAACTGTGCCCTCTTTGCCCCCTTCTTCTTTCTCTGCTTCTGCTCTGCCCTTCTTAGCCTGCGAAGCTGCTCACGAAGCCCTGATGTTAGGTCTCTAATTCCCTCTTTTTCCCCTTCGGTGGCATTCTTGAACTGCCTGGATAGTGCCTTTATCTCTCTCCACAAGCTCTGCATCTCCTTTTCCCTCCGATTTGGTTGCCGGACAATAGGAGTACTGGTCTTCCTATCCTCGACACCAAACCGCTCCTTGGCCACATTATAGATGATTGCTATCATCGTTGCCATCTTCTGTTCTGCTGCCCCTACCAGAGCAGTTTCAAAAATCTTACAGAGGTCCTCATCCAGCTACTGCCACTCCTTGTTGCTGTTCATTTTCGCCCATTTTATTCTGTCCTTTGCAGGTTGAGGTTACTGTGAGGCATCAGAGTTGACCACTGTGTGGTTCAAAGGCAAAGCCATTGCCAAGAGATCTCCAGTGCTGTGGGGTGCTTCCTGACTGGGGTTCTCCTGCGTCTGACGAGGTGTCTCCACCCTGCGCTGCAACAAAATTGCCTCCTTTCCACACTTGATCTTGGCTTGATGGATCTTTAACCCTCTGGTGTTCTTGCATATCTTGCCACATTGGCATCGCACTTCTGGTGCCGTCCCTGTCAGTGTGGTTGGGGTGAGCCTTCTCGTTAACCGTGTATCAGTCCTGGTCTGTACCGATGTGTCTGTCCTTGCGAGTCTCTCATCCTCCCCCCCTCTCGGGAGACTCTGGGGGTATTGCTCATTGTGGTCATTCGTAGCTTGATTTGGTGCCCTCTTGCAAGTGCTGTACATGAGGTTGCTAGCCTCATGCACCCATGCCAGGCTTTCCTGGAGGTCAGCTGTCACTCCAGCATCACTGATCTTCCTCAGTTGCCATCCAGCCTTTTCTGGACGTCACTGGTTGCCCAAAAATTACTTATTGATACTAATTAATACTAGCTGACATGATAAGGTCTCTACCTCATTTAATTTGTAATGCCAATGTATATGGTAACATTAAGATTTACAATGCCTGATTAATTCGCTCCAAAGGATAGTATACGCATCTAGTTGCCTTTTTCTCTTTTTTTGAGATTTTAAAAGTTGGAAAATATGCATGACATTTGGATCTTTTTGTGAATGTCTGAATGATTGAATGCAATGTAAAGCCCTTTGGGATCCTTTGACCTGATAAAATAATACAAAAGTCCAGGCCATTTCCACTTTTTTTTTTTTTTTTCACAGTGTCCTGTCTGGCGATGTGGCAATAAAAATAATTGTCTTGATGCCAAAAAGAGCCCAACAGATTTTACTTTCACAAGTGGAGCAGTACAGCTATCACCATAGGGTTTGATTTATGTATATAAATAGCGTTATTATAATTCATGCGGGGAGTATTACAGATTATATGGACACTGTAATCTAAGTAGAGCAGAAAAGGAAAAACAGGAGAAAAAGGAGAAAGGATGAAAGAAAGAGGAGAAAAATAAAGAGACAATGATTAAATTGCTTCAGTCTGCTTCATCACCAATGTAACGGCTGGCCAAAGCGCCAGCCTGCAGAGGGGTGCAAGATGGGGGAAATGGGCTCCACACTTTGCGGAGACTTGGGATTTTCTCGGGAGAGGGAGCAGTTCAAACCCTAACCCCAACCCGACACGTAAAGTGAAAAAAAAAAAAAACGTCTGCATCATGCCTTCCCACCCTAGTGCCCCAACTCACTACACACAGACACTTATAAAAAAAAATGGCATACACACATTCACACATAACACTCACATCCAAGAATCCCAGGACCCAGGACCCGGTCCTGGGATTACGGGATGACCCAGTAGGTAAAGATTTTTTACCATTTCTTTGGTAGAAATACGTTGATGATAATGATTTGCTGTTTAATGCATCATAGCTACTAAGAAACTCCAGCTTAATAGTTTTATTCCTAGAACAGCAGATTTAGCCAGATGCTACTTTTATGTCTTTCCTCTTGTGGAGTCAAAGTTCTAGTTTTTTTTTCTGTTTGCATAAACTGTAGCATAAAGACATTAACATGTTTATGTAAAACAAGTTCTACCCTTTGAGTATTCAGTAAAAATACTCAATTAAACATTTGTTTCCTAATATTATGCAACCCTGTTTGTCAACATGCTAATAATAAACTTAATGTTTGTTTCCTTTTTACAGATGTTGACTTTCAGCATTGGGTGTCCCATCTCTTTTCATCTTCTGGCTACATAAAACCACGTGTTCAGCTCCAAAGAAGTGATCTGTTATTTCTGAGATGGCAACATTTATACTGCTGGTAATCTCACATAATTTAATTCAATTCAATTCAGTTTATTTCTATAGCGCCAATTCACAACACATGCCATCTCAAGGCACTTTACAGTTCACCAGATCATCCAGTCAGATTGATTAAAAGTTTTCTATCTAAGGAAAACCAGTTGATTGCATCGACTCATTGACTCAAAGGCAATCCCTGAAACTAAGCATGCTTGTAGCGACAGTGGAGAGGGAAAACTCCCTTTTAACAGGAAGAGACCTCCAGCAGAACCAGGCTCAGTGTGAGTGGCCGTCTGCTGAGGCCGACTGGGGTTCAAGGAGACAGAAGCAGAGACACAAAAAGCAGCTGTAAAAGGCGGCCCCGTCCAGGAAACACACAGCCAGGCAGACGAGCTCAGAGCCAGCTCCCATGTCAGAGACAAAGAGAGAGCATCCAGTTAGTCACAGTCAGAGAAACAGGACCACACTGAAAAAACAAAGGAGTTTTTTAAATTTTCATCAGAACTCTGGCTGCAGCATTTTGAATCAGCTGAAGGCTTTTAACTACAGTTTGTGGAATTCCTGATAGTAAAGAATTACAATAGTCCAGCCTTGAAGTAACAAATGCATGGACTAGTTTCTCAGCATCACCCCTGGACAGGAGATTTCAAATTTTTGCAATGTTCCTCAGATGAAAGAAGGAAATTCTAGAAACCTCTTTGATATGGGATTTAAATGACAGGTCCTGATCAAAAATAACACCAAGATTTTTTACTTTATTATCTGAAATCAGTTTAATCCCATCCAAATGAAGTGACTGACTAATCGGTTTATTTTTCAAAGACTCTGGTCCAAAGACTATAACTTCTGTTTTGTCTGCATTCAGAGGGAGAAAGTTAAGAGTCATCCAGGTTTTTATGTCTTCAAGACATGCCTGTAATCTATGTAATGGGTTAGCTTCATCTGGATTTATAGACAGATATAGCTGGGTATCATCAGCATAACAGTGGAAATTAATCCCATGCTGTCTAATAACTCTACGGATTGGGAGCATGTATAAAGTAAAGAGAATTGGTCCTAGCACTGATCCCTGTGGTACTCCACAGGTAACCTTTGAGCATGTTGAAGATCTGTCATTAACATGAACAAACTGAAATTGATCAGATAGATAAGATTTAAACCAGTCTAGTGCTGTTCCTTTAATTTCAATAAAATATTCAAGTCAAGTGGATAAGAAAGGAAGATTGGATATAGGTCTATAATTGACCAAGTCATCTGTGTCAAGAGACAGTTTCTTAAGCAAAGGTTTAATTACAGTGACATTAAAAGCCTTAGGTACATATCCCTGTAACAGAGATAGATTAATCACATCTAAAATGGAGGAGGAGATCAAAGGGAATACCTTCTTAAATAACCTGGTTGGAACTGGATCTAACATCCAAGTTGAAGGCTTAGATGAAGACAATATTTTTTGCTAACTCTGAAAGTTCAACTGGATCAAAGCAGTCTAAACCCGGTTCAGATTCTATGCTACCTCAAATGCTGCCCCACCCTCCAGAGACAAACCAATCGTGGATAGAGGAGTGCTAATGATCTTATTTTTGATAAGATCAATCTTATTTATAAAGAATCCCATAAAATCATTGCTGCAAAGAGTAGGTGGAATGGACGGTTAAACAGAGCTATGGCTCTGGGTGAGTTTGGCAACTGTATTAAAAAGAAATCTAGGATTATTCTTATTCTCCTCTATTAATGAGGAGAAGTATGCTGCTCTTGCTTTACAAAGGGTCCTCTTATACAGCAGTAAACTATTTTTCCAGACTAGGAAGGATTTCCGTAGGCCTGTGGAGTGATATTTTCTCTCCAGTTTACTAGCATTTTGCTTCAAAGTGCGTAGCTCAGCATTAAACCAAGGAGCCAGCTTTCTATTTTTCATGTTTTTCATTTTCAAAGGAGCTGCATTGTCTAAAGCAGCATGCAGAGAACTAGCAACCCCATCAACATAATCATCAACCTGTGAAGGGGAATAAACTAAGCTTTTGCACTCTGCAGCACTGCTCAGCGACACAGAGGAGAGAGAAAGTGAAACAGATTCTTTAAAATGTATAACTGCACTATCTGATAATGATCTACTAAAGTGAATTATTCTTTTGGGGGAAGATGACTCTGAAAAAGTAATCCTGAAGGTTATTAAAAAGTGTTCAGAGAGGACAGGGTTGTGAGGAAATACTGGCTGCTCTTATAACGCAAGTAGCCCCTCACATAGCTGTCCTCCAAAAGTGCCTGAGCAGACAGGCGATTGGGTAACTGTACGCAGAAAGCGTATAGTCATGGATTTCTGCACATTGGTCACCACCAACTTATTCAGGTTTCTAACCAATTTTCCCCGATCAGTTACACATTCACTGAGAAGCCCACTCTGGTAATTGGCAGCTCCATAGTCAGACCATAATCAAATGTTTGCCGGGGGGGCTAAGGATAAGGTTTAATACAGTAAGATTGTTATTCACGCTGGCGGTAATGACACCCGGTTATGCCGATCGGAGGTCACTAAAATTAGTATTGCTTCACTGTGTAACTTTGCCAAAACAAAACATTTTCTTTGACCCCCTCCCTCATCTGACCAGTGATGACATGTTTAGCCGGTTGTCAATGGAGATAGGATAACAGATACAATAAAGTAGCACCAGCCACCGCAATGCTAAAGCCCTCAGGAGCCGTGGGGACAGTACTAACAGTTGATTGTCTAGGTGAAAAACAACGTGAAATACATTAATAATTGGCAATCCTTTTGGGGAAAGCCTTGTCTGATTCAGAGAGACGGCATCCATCCCATGGTGCATCTCTTCTTTCTAGGAATCTGGCCACATTTATTAGTCCTCCAAAACCCTGAACACCCAGGGTGCAGACCAGGAAGCAGAGTTGTAGTTTAACACACATCTCTGCAGCTTCTCTACTGTTACCCACTCTTTACTCCATCCAGACAGTGTCTTGCCCATGACCAAAATCTAATAAATTAGCAAAGATTCCCAAAGGAGTAAATCATTAAAATCTAATTGAAATAAAATAAGTCCAATTGGGGAACATGTTAAAGTTATCAAATGTGGTCTGTTTAACATAAAATCTCTTTCCTCTAAAAGTCTGCTAGTTAATGACTCGATTAGTGATAATCACATTGACTTATGTGGCCTTACAGAAACCTGGCTGAGGCAAGAGGATTATGTGAGCATAAATCAGGCAACTAGTTATTAATATTTTCACATTCCCAGAAGTTCTGGGCGAGGAGGAGGAGTAGCAACAATCTTTCAATCTGACCTACTGATTACTCCAAAGGCTGTTAATACTTACAACATTTACTCTTTATTTCCCTGATCCAAACTGCAAAGCAAGAAAACCTCTTCTTTTTGTAACTTTGTATCGTCCACCAGGTCCTTACTCTGAATTTTTAGATGAGGTTTCAGAGTTCCTTTCTGATTTGGTATAAAATACTGACAGGGTCATCATAGTGGGAGATTTTAACATCCATGCTGACATTGAAGGTGATAGCTTAAGAGTAGCCTTTATTTTTTTATAAGCTTTAATTTTTAAAAAGTTGCTCCAGGGCTATAGAAAGCATTATGAGCTTAGGAAAAGGTTAGTTATATGCAGGAAACATACAGACAACAAGTCAGACAGACACATTTTCTGGAACACAAGTGGTCCCTTTATTGTCATGTTATTAGCACAATGAAAAAAAGTCTTACATGAAAGAATGCATGGCAATGGGTCAAAAACAATAGTGAAGTAGCCTTAATTTATGGATTATATTCTTAAATAAAAATAAAAATACGAAACGGGCTTGGTTAGAGACAAGAGGAAATATCAAGGGAGAAGTCGAACTGCCTCAGCCGGTTTCAAACCTGTATTGCAGCAAAAACTATGCATTACATGCGGTCACTTCAACCACTGCGACACTTCTCAGTTGCAAAAACTGGTGAACTGTTCTGAATAATACCTGTAAAGCACAACACATTAGTTAGTGATGCATGTCGATAAAAAGCGTTTTTACATAAAAATAGACATGGAAATGGATTCAAAGCAACAGCAAAGTGCATGTAGTGGATATATTCCTAACTTAAGGCTTTCTGAAACGACTATACCGTGAACTTTGGCAATGCTGCCACACAGAGCTCTGTGCAGAGCTTTCCACAAAGCAGATCTGTGCTGAACTTTCTTGGTCTGGCTGCCTTGATCAGCAACTGGATGCAACAAGTTCAAATGCATCGGCTGTCGGAAAAAGAAGGAGGGACATTATTATCATATTAGGATAGGGTCAGAACGCGCATCAAGAACGTGCGTTTTGACCTGTCAATACGTGCGTTAAGAACACGCGTCTTGCGGTACCATCATGACGGACGGGTGCTTGTTGGTAAAAGATGGCGAAAAAAGTGGCGAAATTTCGGGAAAACGGGCGCTTTTACCGGGTGAATTTCAATCTTAACGTGATAATTAGATGCGAATAGTGGCATTCTTGGCTTGCCATATTACCTATACACCCCACCGTGTCAACAATCAACACATAAATAATTTCCCCTCCCCCCAGTTTCTGTAAACCAGATGTTTTTCATAGTGGACATCCTTGTTTTAATTATTAAAGATAATTTATCCTTCATAATAAAAAAAAAAAATTGTTAGCGTCAACTCACCCTGACGTTACAAATTCACAGGGTTTTGATATAAAAAAAATACAGAGAGAACCCATATAATTGTCTTGTAATGCCATGGCAATCCAGACATTAATTGAATGAATATATTAACTAAAATGCTGACATATTTAAAGGAAACAGAGAAAATGTTTTAAAGACAATACAAGGAAGCATTTACATCTTATCTAAATAGACATAAACGAGAACAATGAAAGAAATATTCAAAGACCTATGTACCTTTTCACCTGGCTCTTTATCCAAAAATAAACAGTATGCAATGAAATATATGTTTTTAATATAATTTAGGGATTTGGTAGAAATTAAAGAAGGTTTATTATTTATTTATTACTTTCATCTCCATCTGTACATGCCATCTGTGGTCATGAAGAATATGCAGTGCTGCACGCCCCAAGTGTGCGGAATGACCAAACAGGACACAGCAGCACAGCTGATACCACTTAACTGGTCTAACAGATTTCAGCACATTGATGGATTTAAAAAGTCTGACCGATTCCCTGTTTATTTTTATCTAGTCTCGTCTTGTTGACGAAAAATCACACCGATGACTAATCAAGTTTTCGCCATCAAAGATCTATGTTTAGTTCGGCAGTTTTCATTATCATAATGAAAAAAAAGGAGCGTAAGCCATCACTGACGAAAGCAACACTGATGAGACAGCATTTAAAAGATTGATGGATTGGATGCTGTGATCAGCAGATACTTTTTTTGTAATTTTGTAATTGGAATTTGGCTACCAAAATTCCTGATCCGTACCATTATCTAATGAGGGAGACATCTCTGTGATTGTGCTGGTCACAATTTGTCAACCAGACTTGAGAAATAAAGGAGGAAAAATGGAAGATGGAGAAAATAATGCTGGCAAAGCATGAAGCGGGGAGATTAAGAGATTTGTGGGCTGATTTTTTTCATCATCCTAGCTCTTGGGCAGCCATTGCCTTCTCTGATCTATTTCTTTATTCCTTCGATCTCCCACAGTTTGCCTCTAGAGGCTAGGCCCGGACAGCTGACTCTTCTCTCTGTTCTGTCTCCTTGGCTGACCTCTCTGACATACGTCTGCCCCCATACTGGCCATTCACAGCCTCTAGTGTAATGTTTGCCTGACAGGCTACTTCGATCTACTTCTGTGCTCCTCCACTTTTCTCTTGAACTTGCAAGAGGCCAGCTCTCCCCTGCTCTGGTGCCCCGTCTGCCCGGCAAGCTTATTGAATCTACTGTTGTCTTCCGTAATCTCAAACTGCGCTTTCTTAGCTCCAGGGTCATGGCTGGCTTCCTTGTCTTGGTTCTGATGCTCTTTCTGATTGTGCGCTGATTTCCCGCTGCTTCTGACTGAGTTCCAGAACACTGTCTCTCCTTTCCTTTGTTGTACGGGAGAATCTGGGGAACCCAGGGAGCCACATGCCAATAGATTAGTTTTAAATTTAAAAGTAAAAAATAAATAAACTGCAAGTCGCTCCATAGCAATTCTGTGTCCAAGCCTTTGGCTGACTATTCAGTGTGCATGACTTTCCCCCTGGAGTAAAATTGCTGAATCTTAGCACAGTGACAAGAAAGCCATTTGGGTTCCCTCTGTTTATCTTTTTGTCATACCACTAACCCATTATGACTGATGATTAGACTATTCTGAGTTCTTAGATGCTTGTGAAAAGTAACCTGACAAGCCAGATCATAAAATGTAGTACTCCGGTTTAGGTCCTCACAATATTAGCCTTGGACTCTTCCAATCAAATTTGTTAAGAGAATAGAGGGACATTCAGCAGAACCCTCCAAGTTAATTTGGCATCACACCTAGTGCTGGCCTACCATCATTTGGTTTCAACCAATAAGGGTAACAAATTGACCACAACTGGTGCTCTTGCTGTTCCTCTTTCAAAGATGAAATCATGGATTTCGACAGATGTGATAGCAGCAGCTACTCATACGTCCCCCTACTTTGCTTATTTTGGTTTTAGCTGTGGGGTGGTCAGCTCTTGCTTTCATCACAACTATATGTCTTGCCTTGTACTATCACACTGCAGTGTGATTGGCTGACTATTTTTGGTTCTGTCTCAAACAGTTGAAGTGGGAGCATTACAAGATGTACCGGTATTCCTCTGTGTTCATTAACACAATCTTACGTCTAAAACCTGAAACTGCAGATGACCCCTAAGTGAAATAAAAATTTTAAACGGAAAATGTTGGCCTTATCTATATAAAACTGTTTTTGCTCTTTACAGATAATCCTAATGAGAGCCTTCATAGTCCATACAATCACATGTCATCTAACAGAATACAGGATAGGAAATGAGTGCTGTCCGATGTGTCCTCCTGGTAGGTTCCATTTAATGATTATTCACTATTTATGATGATGTGGGCTCTGTTATAACGAGATAAAATGCAATAAAATCCTCTGTATGTATGTATGCCTGATAGTCCTTGAGTGTATTTACTCTGGCTTAAAGGGCAATGGTGTTTTTTTTTAAATTGGCCCCTTGATTTTACGTTATTACATCATGTTCTACTCACCCATATTAGATTTGTGTCATTTGGAGCTTTTCCAAAGATATTAGATTTGTGTTATATCCAAGTAACATCTTCCTATGGGCAACAAGTTGAAGGCACAAACTAAACTGTTCACAATGTGTTCTTTATGGTACACCAGCATTCATAACATGTAGGAGAATCACAAGTGATGGGAGTAAGGCCGTTGAAAGTAACTAACGCCATTACCTTTTTTTAGTAAGAGGTAATCTAACTAATTACTTTGACTGTAACTATAACGCAGTTACCATTGCAGACACCCCGTTACTGCACGTTACTAAGGTCGCACAATGAACCTTTCTTTCATGATAGGACTTGTGCGTGCCTTGTCATGAGAGAGGGGAGGATGAGACTGGCTAATGTATAGTGAGATTTCCGTCTGTCAGTTGGGTAGGTGTGTCATGATCTTGTCAAGAGCTCTGATCCACATGCAGATAAACCAATCTAGAGAGACAAGGGGAAAAGTTTAACAGGTGTATTGAGAAGTTTTGTCCAGATTCCAGTGTTGCTCTGAACACTGCTCAACCGGAACTGAAAGGTGAGAGGAAGACAGTGTGGTTAGTTCAGGTTCAGTGGGAAAATTGTTTCTCGAACTTGAAGAGGAGGAAGGGTAGGCAGACTCACGTTTCCAGAGAATAGGTTGACTCTTAGACTCCAGTAGTTGAGGAATATGTCCCGGTGTTAATCTAATATGGTGGAGGGTGGACAGGGTTACCTAGAATGCGGTTGCTTGTAGATGAACGGAGAAGACTGACTGCCACTCAGTTTTGAACGGACTGTGGTGCAGATGAATACCTTGCTCAGTGTTAAGCTCAAACGATTCCTCGGGGGAAAAGTGGATCCAAACCTCCTGTTTGTATCCCCAGCTCAGTTTGAAGCTCAGTAGGTCCTTCCAGGGAGAGAAGGTCAGAAAATCCAGTTTGCAGGATGACTTCCTACCGAAAGGCAAAAACAAAAATAACAACGTTAAGACTCAGGTTGACAAAAACTCAGTTTGACTCAGCAAAACTAGGCTTGGCTAGAGTACCCCAAACTGGCAAACACTCTGGCATCGAGGTAGTGGCAGTCAGCAGCGAGGTAACCCCTAGCAGGTTTGTGAGGAGGAGAATCAGAACCAGGAGCCGCCTGCAGGAGGAAGGAAGACAAACACACAAAAACACAGACCACACAGACAGGAGTCCTAACAAGGTGGGTGTTTCTGCTGGCGGGTATTAACGTACAGCACACACAGAGAGATGGAGAGTGAGGAGGACTCCAGCAGCAAAACAGCGTTTTCCAGATGGAAATACCGGTGTTATGTCAAGCTGCGCTTCCCCAACAGATACGGTTTCCCCTGCATCTCCGCACAGCGCAGGCGGCACGATTCACCGTGCAAGCGACAGGAAACGTGCATGCTCGCTAAAGGTGCGCAACAGTCACCCTGTGCTTGCGCCACAGGAGAACTACGGAAAGAGTGAACTGTCAAATGTTAGCCTATATGGAGAGAGAAATTGGGATGGATGGATGGATGGATGGATGGATGGATGGATGGATGAATGGATGGATGGATGGATGGATGGATGGATGGATGGATGGATGGATGGATGGATGGATGGATGGATGGATGGATGGATGGATGGATGGAGTGAGTGAGTGAGTGAGTGAGTGAGTGAGTGAGTGAGTGAGTGAGTGAGTGAGTGAGTGAGTATCTATAACAACCCAAACACACAGGATTTCAGAATTAGACATCCCCAGTTAATTTCATAAACTCACCAGATCTGAACGTCGTGTTTAAAAACCTCACACCCATGAGTAGAGGTAATTCAGCCTGATGATATTTACACCTCATCAGATACTGTTCCCCTATCTGACGGGCCTATAAACCCCGTCAGATAGCGTTCCCCCCTGATGTCTCTCTGCAGGTTCTTGTCTTTGTCGTCCGCTCTATTCAGCTGGCTTTTGAAACACATGGCGAGAAGGTGGGGTCCGGGTGGTGAGGGTTACGGGGGCGAGAAACACAAAAGTAATAGTTACTTTTACTAGTAACTAGTTACTTTTTGGGAGAAGTAACTATAACTAATTACTTTTTCAAAGTAACGTGCCCAAAACTGTGAATCACTGTCCCCCAGACATCCACGGTTATATTTTTGATATTTACTATATTTTTTTTAAAACAAAGCGGAGTGTGTATGAAGCCATCCGCGCATCCGGACTGGAGTCGTGACAGGCAGCCTAGGCTACGGGCGGCTACGCTCTACCCCTTCTATTCATTCTAGCTAATCTGAATCGTTCAATACCATTTGGAGAGCGAGATCATCTGTGGTAGCAACACTAGACATCTTCCAGGCATGTGAGGAAAACTAGCAGCAGTTCAGCGGAAAGGATGAATGAATGGTAGCCGGCGCGCGCTGATGACGTCATACACATGCCGCTTTGTTTTTAAAACATATACAAATAAAAAAAATAACTGTGGATGTCTGGGGGACAGTGATTGGCCTCCATGTTCTGAATGCTGGCGTACCAAAAAGAATAAATGATGAACAGTTTAGTTTGTGCCTTCAAGTCGTTGCCCATAGGAAGACGTTACTTGGAACGGAATATCTTCAGAACGGCTCTAAATTACACAAAACTCATATGGGTGAGTAAAACATGATGTAAAAATGTAAAATCAAGGGCCCAATGTAAAAAAAAAAAAAACGTGTTTCCCTTTAAATCATTTTTTTGGTGTCAATATTTAGCACTATGTATCTGTAAGTGTTTCGTGGACATTCCAGTCTCATTACTGCTGTGAGCGAGGCCTCATTATATCACATTGCTGTATCGAGCTTTACAGCAAATTTGAATATTCTGGGCATTTCAATACCACTGAAGTATTTAAATGCATCAGAATTGTGGCTCAAACTGCTGGTTTTCCCATTTACAGTTTTATTCAAATACAGGGAAAGAAATTTTATATTTAGGCCCATTTTACCATTGACTCAGAATAGTTCCCTACATGCACATGGATCTAAAATACACACACACACACATTACAGACTCACACACTTAGTGTATACCCATCACAGTCATCAACTGATTAATTTATAACAGATATTTATTCACCTGGCACATCTAAAATTATAGCTTATATTAGGTTAGGTTAGTTTAAAAGAAAACAATTAAAATAAAAGATTAAGTCAGTTTAGTTGATAATTGAAGACAAGGAATGGTCTTGTGTTGTAGTAAAATCTTTGTTATAGAGGAAAGTGAGGAAGGGACAAGGAGGAAGAGCCAGGACCACAGATAATCTGCTGCATTATTTAGTTATTGATGCTTCTCCTTTAATACCATCATTTAATCTGTCAGAACCAGAGAAGGAATATGGAGAACCTTTGGGAACTACTGTGCAGCAGAGTTGAATCATTTAAACTATCAGAACTACCCAAAAGCTAATTTTTCAAAAGTATCTATATAGTTGTGGGTGCAGCCCACTCAAAAGTTGTCACTTAGTTGTTGTGTATCAGAAGGGCTGTTTATTGTACTGAAATTTCACAGGTTAGACACTATTTATTTATATAATCATTATCGATACTATAAGTGTAGAACAAGCGAGTTCAACCATGAAATAATGCGGACGTTAGGATACCTGCTACAGGGCTGCCAACTTTTCACCAAACCTTGGGGTGAGATTTTGAAATAGTTTGGACAGAAAACCCTGTCATGTTAGATGGGGAGGATAGGTGCAGCTATAGGTTGAAGATTTTCAGAGGATTTAACTGAAACAAAGTGGAAAAATGTGGAACTTTGATAGCACTGTAAATGTTACTGGATAATAATAAGTGGTTTTAGTTATGTGGAACATTTTTCTCACAATATACATTATTTTCTAGATTCTGGTGATTTTTTAGAGAACTGAAGTAAAGCAGAATGGGCCCTACTAAAATACTTGCATCTTAAATATACTTTGAACTAAGAATTTCACATTTTTGTTCTTTAATTATTCTCTGCAGTAAATTAAACAATGGGAAACTAATAAGCTATTACTGGATTACTGGCACTGATACAGGAACCAGTGCAAGTGAAACCTGTGCAAACTGTGTATGAATATTTGGTAATAGGCTAAGGATTATAAAGCTTCATTCATTATGTTATTAGTTTTTCTTACAATTGAAAAAACAGCTAAACAATTCAGACCTTCTAGGAGGCTGCAGGTTTGATAAAAACTCACCATGACAGGAGACATTTCATCTCTGGATGTTTCAGTTTGGAAGGTGTGACGGAAATAAAGTTTTTAAACATATTTAATGGACCAAAATAAAGACAAATGAATATGATAAGTGATAATAAAATGAGAACATCCCTGTTGTTTTTCCTCTATGAATTTAGGACAGCTGAGCTGTTCTGCACATCCTCTCTGAATGTTGTTGGTCTTTTCTTTGGTCGCTGGTCTTTTAAAAAATAAAATGCAATGTTTCTTTTACTTTTTGTGGACCTCCTATAGGTTTGAGAGACAAACCTGAAAGCTTTAAAAATTAAAATATTTGTGTTGGTTTAATTACTCCTAAATGCCAACAGGAGATTATTAAACTAGACTGAGCAATAATTATTTAACTTGTGAGCAAAACTGGGACTAAAAAAGCACCAGGTAAAGAGAAAACAAACCATTTAATGTGATCCGATCCACATCAATAATTTAAGCTAGCTGCTGTATTTTTTCATATTTACTCAAACACAAGATTGCTTAAAATCTTCAATAATTTACGAAGAGAATTATCCTAGTCCAGATGAGATAAAATAGAAATTAAAATGACATAGCTATCTCATAACAACTGTCTTTTTCATATCTAGCACAGTGAATAGGTGGGAATACAGACTGGAAATGAATCTGTCAAGTCCTCTGTGTTAGCACTAAGGTTGCATAAAGACATGGACTGGCATTTGATCACTGGTAATTTTATACATAAATAAGTGGAACAGAGTTGAGTTTTAATGTCATTTTTTAGTGTGAGAAATTGGGAATATGGAGAGAGAGTGTGTGAAGACTCTGAGATGGGTGAATCTCACTCCCAATGGGTGAGAGTTGACAACCCTGCTGCTATCAAATACCAAAACAGCAAACAAGACTGGTTCATTTAGCTACAGTTCAGTGTTGTGAAAGGCTTACAGGGGTAATAAACCAGGAAGTTCCAGGTCTAGCGCCCCTAGTGGCAAAGTTACAGTATCGCTTTAAACCTCACTATTTTAACAAATTCATGAGTATATTTGCTTTTGACCAGCTATTTTATATTTTAGATCAATTACTGGGCTATATAAATGAACTAAGGTAATCAAAACTTGATTAAATGGTTGCTTCAAAATAAGAAACACATTTATAATTTCTCGACACAGTGTACTGATTCCTGGTAGAACATAAGTTGAAATATTCATTTTAATTTCTGTAGAATAAGCTGTTTTGGCCTAACTTTTACTTTATCATTGGTTTTTATATCTGGTTCTGAATATACCTCTAGACCTCTCACTACCGTAGATCAAAGCTAAACACAGTATTAATTGTTGCAGTTTGCTTACCATGGAAACAACACATGGTCAAGGAACAACATGTTTTATTTTCCAACAGGGCGTCGGGTTGAAACAGACTGCACAGAGTTCATACGTACATCCTGTCTGCCTTGCTCTGCTGGGACTTACATGGACGAGCCAAATGGTCTGAAGAAATGCTCTCCATGTTCTACCTGTGATTCAGGTACATTCATGTGAATTTTCTTTTTACTGTGAATTCAAATAGAGGCAGCTGGATGACTTGATTTTTGGTGTTTCACTTCTCAGGACTTCTTGCTTTCTTAAAACAGTTTTTTAGACCACTGGTTCCCAACCCTGTTCCTTTGTGACCCCTTTCCTGCATGTTTAAGATGTTTCCTTGCATCACAGCAGGAAAGAATGGATGATTAACAGGTGTCTGCAACACTGGATTGCAGAGGATATATCTATAAAAGAGTCTATATATATCTGTTTTCAGAAGCTGGTCTGAAGGTAAAGAGAGAATGTAGACGCGCTGCAGACACAGTCTGTGAACCAATGGAGGGATTCTTCTGTACAGACCTTAAACCAGGAGGCTGTGGTGCAGCACAGAGACACAGGAGCTGTAAACCAGGACAGTTCATCAGGAGGACAGGTTGGACATCCTCTGCTTTTAAAGCTACAGTGTGTAATAATTACAGGGATATACAGTCAGAAATGTAATATATTATACATAACTATGTTATTTATCATCATCTACGGGCTCAGCCTCTTAACCTTAATATTTGCTTTGCCTTAGAATTCGTTATGTATAATTACATAGGAGCGGGTCTCGCAGCGATGGAGGCAGATATATTTGCGCTACGGCGGCGCAGAGCCAACAAACTAGCGATTGCGAGATCGCCCATTACACTCAAAGGGACTATGGCAAGTTGAGAGAGATGAACTGAGACGGTACTGAACAATAGATGGCAGTATTAAAATTATCTATGTAAACAAACCTCATCACTTGAGAAGGTAGGTGATGCGGACGTCGTGGAAGACATTTTGTCCCGTAACGCTCGCCGTACTGTTGGGGGGGAGAAGCGGTGGGGGGAGATGTTCAGTTTGCTGCGGTCTGCAGTCTGGACGTTAGATGTCGCTGAAAATTACACACTGTAGCTTTAACATGACTGCTGACTTTATATTTATAGTCAGACGATAAAGAAAGATAAACTGAGTTACATGTTTATTATAGCTGGACATCTGATCAGAGTTTTCTGACCAACTTCCTGCAAACTGGTTTGTGTTTGTTCAGGAACAGCCTCCACAGACACAGACTGCTCTGACTGCGTCGCTGGAACGTTTTCTAATGGATCAATGTCGTCCTGTCAGCCACACACACAGTAAGCTAGTCTTTTAGAAACGCCTTAAACACAGCAGGATGTTCAGCAGAGCAGTAACCTGGATGCATGTTTCTGTTACTGCAGATGTGAAAAACAAAACCTTCAGCTGATAAAAGCAGGAAATACTTAATCTGATGCTGAATGTGGAGAAAAGATAAACATCGAAGCAATAGTGCATGGAATATTGCTCAGTGTGCTGTATAGTATCCTTGCTCTGGAATGGATTTTTGTTTTATATTGTTGTATATCTGATAAAATCAAAAAATGAGACTATTAGGTAAGATGAAAAAATTACATCAAATATTCTTTGCACATAATTAAAAGTTAATTAATCATTGTTTTAATAACTGTAATATTTTACTTTTCACAGATAAGTTCACAAAAAAAAACAATAAACCCCCAACAGTATGTAGGTTTATTAACTGAACAGATGTTGATAGAAATATTCACTTTATTGAAGAAATCACTGACTTTTCTTCTACTAATAGGATCAAAAAAAAGAAGCAGAACAAAATTCCCTGAACTCCCAACCAGAAAGAACGACTGAAACTTTCTGCTCCTCCAGAGTTACTGATCCTCTACACACAACTTAATGTTGTTAGAAATGTGTTTAAACATATTTAATGAATACTAACTGCTTAATTTCAGGGGGTAGATAGTTGTTCAACCGTTTGTAAATTTAACTCAGTTCTTATCTAAAGTACAGTTTTAAAAAGAGTAGTAAATATAAACTGGTAAATTTATCAGCTCTGTGACTGGAAACCATAATGATTACTGGAGGAAACCTTCAGTAAATCAATAACTTTATATGTAATGAAAAAGTCTTTTTGTTCAGTTTTCAGACTAACCAGAATTCTGAGAATCTCATCTGTAATTTTAATAATCAGCTCTAAAATCAGGATCTGAAGCCTTGCTGCTTTCATCATTCCCAGAGTGCGAAATATGGGGGGGTCCGGGGCGGTTCGACCCCTCCAATTAACCCATGAGCCCCCCTGAAAGCCTCAAAAGCAAAATTTAAAGGGTGTCTTAAATTGTCTTAAAAAAAATAAAAAAAAAATAAAATGTTCTGGCTCCTTAGGAAGCCATTGCTCATATTTGCGTATTGTTTCTAAATTATATACTATAAGCTTTCTTATGTATAACATTTAATATAGTCTTATTTTGAAAGCACCGGAAGGGTTTTGGTGCATGGTGCGTGTTTTGAAGCCGCTTGTGGAGAAATGTCCTGGGCCGTGAGTAGTGAGGAAACAGGAAGTGATTCTTGTGGGATGGAAGAGGGAAATAGTGACAATGAAGAAGGTTGGACGATAGCAACATCAAAAAATGAGAAAAAGCGGAAAAAACAGAGATCAGTTAAAGGGGAATCCAGTTCAGAACAATCCAGTGATGATCAATCCATACATTCCACAGCAAAACAAAATGAATACAAAGTCATATTCAAAGTCGTTAATCAGGCAGCCTCTTTTACAAATTGGAATCCGGTTCACTTAACAAAAACCATCAATAAACTTGTTAGAGAAGTCAGAGGTGCCAGAATCCTGTACAGTGGAGACCAGCTAATAAACTGCAGAGACAGCGCCCAGCAAGGCAAAGCAATACGGATCAACAAAATTGACGGGATAAGAGTTCAGTGCAGCTTAATGGAGAACAAAAAGATCAGCAGGGGAGTCATTGGAGGAGTCCCTTTAAAAGTTTCTGACAAAGAAATTCTAGAAAACATAAGCGGTGCAAAAGTAAAAGAAGTAAAACAATTAAAAACAACTAGAAATGGAGAAAGATCTGACAGTTTATCTGTGTTAATTAAATTTGAGGAAGAGCAATTACCCAGTAAAGTATTTATCGGTTACATCAGCTATAATGTTAACGTTTACAATCCTCGACCTTTGAGATGTTTTAATTGCCAAAAAGTCACATAGCAGCAGTTTGTAAAGGAAAACAGAGATGTAGATGGTGTGCAGGAGAACATGAATGCGGAAAATGTGGAAAAGAAGCTAAGATAAAATGCTGTAACTGTGGTGGAGAACATACTGCTGCTTATCGCGGCTGTCAAGCAAGCAAAAGGTCAGAGGAAATAAAAAAAAATGAAATTTGAGCTCGGAATATCCTATGCTGAAGCTGCTAAAAGGATCCCATCTCAGTCAGGAAAAACCAAACCAACAGTTCAACACACGGCAAATTCCAAACCTCTAGAGAAATGTCCAAAAATTTAGAAGAAGAACCACTAATTGTTAAAAAGAGAAATTTTATTCTATTCATGGCGGAAGTGATTAATTGTACTGCACAGACGACAAGAAAAAACGAAAAAATCAAAATGACAGTGAAGGCTGCAGAAAAGATTTGAACTGGGAGATGGTTAAAGATAAATAAAAATTATAAGGGCAAATGTGATTTAGTATTCATTATGTTGGGTAGGGTGACCATATTTTCATTTGGGAAAACCAGGACACCTTGGAGCGCGCGGGGGGTGGGGGGTAATCTCTGTTCCCATGCATAGAGATGTCTGTGGCATGAACTCACTTAACATAGGCCTATGTAATCCTACAATAACATTATATTTACAGTTGATTGATTAAAAATGCTTTTCAGTAAAAGTCAACAGCAATAACTCCAATAACAAACGATAATTTTATTCAAGATGTATTTATTAAAAATGCTTAACAATTCCTGTAATGAATGAATAGCACAATGAAAGAAATAATGTCTCATCATCGGGATTTGCTCCGTGATCAGAGGAAAGGTTACTTGGCCCCGAACAGTAGTGACAGATTCTAATATATCTGCAGGGTGGGGACTATAAATCTGATAGGAGTTTAATTTTTTTTATTGCTGTTTTGCACAATATGCTTAACTAATTTTTTTTTGTTGTTGAATATTAGAGATATTGCAGATGTATTTTGTACAGACATTGTTTAGATTTGCTTATATCTTTCTACTCCTTTTATAGAATAGAAAATCCCTTTATTGTCCCACAATGGGCAAATTTACAGCAGCAGAAAGATTATTGAAAATAATCACACAAATGTGGACCTTAGAAAATGTATAAGAATAACATAATAGGGAAGAGTTAAAATATAAAAAATACAATACTGTAAAGTGTGTTTTACAGTGATGGATATTTGAAAATAGCAGCAACATCAGAGATGTGCAGAATGACAGCAGCAGGTTATTTAACTGAATAAGGTTTCTATCATTACATTTGATTTTATTTGTTCCTGCTCCCGGTGGTTGGAACCTTTATTCCACTCCGGATTCTTGTTAATGTAGTCTTTGTTCACTTTAACTTTAAAAAAAATAAATAATAAACAAACAGTTTTGAAAACCTCTGTATTCATTCTTTTCCTGCTTTGTGTGTCAAAAAAATGGAATATACTTACATTATTTGTTCTTTATATAAAGAGTCCAATGAGATATCTATCTTTCTCACTGAAAATGTCCTGCAACTAAAGACATTCTACATTTTGTAGGATGCATTCATCCAATTGACCATCTAACCTTATTTTCATGTATTCAACATTAAACAAAAACACACAGTAATTATTCTAAAAAACATTAAAAGAAACAAACAAACAAAAAAAAAAAAAATCTGTTCAGTGAAATCCAGTCACTTAAAGTTAGTGGTCATAAGATATCAATTCTGAACTATGTAACAACATTTTAATACGTTCTGAATAAAGTAAGGGAACTTAAATATTTATAAATAAATGAATAGTGCAAAACAAACAATTCAATTCAATTCAGTTTATTTATATAGCGCCAAATTCACAACACATGTCATCTCAAGGCACTTTACAGTTCAACCAGATCATACAGTCAAATTGATACAAAGTTTTCTGTCTAAGGAAAACCAGTTGATTGCATTGACTCATTGACTCAAATACAATCCCTCACACTAAGCATGCTTGTAGCGACAGTAGAGAGGAAAAACTCCCTTTTAACAGGAAGAAACCTCCAGCAGAACCAGGCTCAGTGTGAGCGGCCATCTGCAGAGGCCCACTGGGGTTCAAGGAGACAGAAGCAGAGATACAAAAAGGCAGCTGTAAAAGGCGGCCCCGTCCAGGAAACACACAGCCAGGCAGACAGGTCTTGAGTATTTATCAATAAGGTACAAATGAGGTTTACAGTGGTTTTGGTGAGGCTAGAGTTCATAGTAGTATAGTTATTGATTATTTTTTCAAAATAATAATTCCCCAAAAATATGAAAATGAATTTAATTTATATAATAAAAATTGTATCAGCAGTAGGGTGTGAATGATGTGTGAATGATGTGTACAGTGATTTTATTGTGGCTACAGTTCATAATTGTGTATTTATTGATAAATATATGCTTATAATAACAAAACAAATCTAAAAATAGAGTTAAACAAATATTCCCAAAGTAAGAGTTGTAGTATAATCCAGATGAGGTAATCTATGTGTGCTAGACTTTTGGAAAGTCCTCAAAAAAGTATTATTTTCAAATCCAATAAATGTGATATGAAACACATGAGATTAGATACACATGAAATGAATTTGACAATAATCCACCTCTCCTTGGTGACGCTTTTGAATATTTCTCTCTGATTATTTCTACGGTGTTGTAACTTGCAGATGGTCTCTAAGAATTTGTAGAGGAGCGAGCTCTGCATAGGGTCCAATCTGATTCTCTCAGCATGACAGAAGACTCGTTTTGAGGAAAATGCGGTTGTAGCTCACTGTCTTGCTTGCTGTGGTTGTGATCAGGTGTCTGTTTTGTAGACACTAACGCACAACAATGGCATGGTGCGCTCGGGTCGGTGGAACATAAAAGGCTGTGGTTAGAGCTTCATTAGAGTAGGATTGTACAGTTGAATTTGTTGTTTATGCTACTTTTGTTTCTGGAATATTAAACATTTTAAGTTCATGTACAGCAGTGGCGGCCGGCCCATAGGGGGCGCTGGGGCACCGCCCTCCCTGATTAGAAGAGCGAAACGTAAAATATATTTTTAGAAATTAACTCATGTCAGTTTTACTCTCTAGAGTATGTACCTGTAGCGGCCAAAGTGGACTTTTAGTTTAAATAAATAGAAATTGCTTAAAAATGCTTAAAAAGATAGATAATAATTTAATTTGAATTTCTAATTTGATAGATGGATATATTTCATGATAAAAATGATAAATATTTTATGTACAAAGTTAAAAGAATAAGAATTCATGTTTATAAGGTTACTTGGATTTTGGATTAAAAAATGTGTACTGTCGCTTTAAGGATGGACGAGCCGGCTTCCTCAGCCTCTGGCATGTTTATTAAGATTGCATGGAACCGTGGAAGCGAACAGTCTTCTTACCTGTTGCTCTTCAACTTTATGACAGACTTTAAACCCTTTTATTTTCATCATAAGATATATTTGTTAATTCATGTACGTTTTGTAAGCTTTAAGAAGAACACTAAACTTCAGTTTTCATCTTCAAGACGTTGTGGAGTGGATTTATTTCAAGTACATGGACAATCACGGGAAAGTTTAAACCTGTAACTTTGGATTCGAAGAAATCGGGCCGTAAGAAAAAAAACTTTTTCCCCTTGCTTCCCCCCCAACCAAATTTTAAACCCTCACATTAGTAAAAAAGACTTGCTTGTTCCTTTGGGTTTAACAAACTTTGGGAAAGGGGTTTTTCTGAAGTGGGAAAAAAGATTTAATCAAAAAGATTTACCGAGGGGAATTTCTGAAGCAAGGCAAGTTTACCACGGGCATTTTTTGGTGACTTGGTGATTGGACAATTTGGCCTAGTAAACTGCTAGGGGGACCCTTTCGCAAGGGGAAAATAAAATAAAATAAAAACGGTTTGATTTTTCAAAAAAAAAAAAAAAGGAAACATGACAGACGAAAAAGGGAAAAGGGAGGGGTAAGCCCCCCCCCGGGGGGAAAAACTTTTGGTTAAACAACACTGTGCCCTTTGGGAAAATACAATTTGCAAAAAAAATTCACTCCAAAAGGGAGCCAAGCAAGGCAAATTGACTGAGAAAAAAATTTAAACCCTTTGTTTTAATTTGGAGAAATGCAAACGCGAAATTTTTCCCCAAAAGGAACTGTTAAACAGGTATGAAG